TTAATAAAGACAACCTAGGGGCATCCTGAGTCTATATTTCAGAATTCTTTGTGAAAACACTGCAAAAGAAGCTTTTTATTACTCTCCAGGCTTTATTGCATTCTTCAAAATTAATTGGAGAAATAATAGAATAACTTTCAAACACAGTACAGTTATGATACAGATTACTGCTGTCAAATAGAACTTTCTCTGATGATAGAAATGTCCAGTATATTAAGATCTAGGCATAGGTAGCTATAAAATTTTAATGAATTTAAATTTACATGTAAATACCCACATTGGGTTAGTGGCTACATTTTATACAGTGCTGGCTTCTTTAGTCCCTATTATCCTAACAGGTTTCTCTTTCTTCTACAAGTAAGGAGATCATGAATATTAAGAATCATTGGAATAACAAATCAGTATCATTTCCATTCTACCTGATATTCTTTATATTTCATTCAATTCAGAATTATTAAATGCACTTTCCTATGGTCTAAGATCTCATGCCTAAATCTTTTTATGTGACCATTAGACTAAATTTCACCAGATGATACCTAAGGGAAACTGATTTTATTTCCACATTGGATAAGAGGTATAGGCTTTTATCTTTATCTTATTATATTACAAGTCTCCAAAGTTAGGACTTTCAACAGTTACTGTCTGCTACCTGAGATAACAGCAAACAGCAATCTGAATTGACAGCTAAAGATTATCTGTGGAGAGCCTTGGGAGCAAAGATATGATGAGCACAGAGCACAGGGCTGACCTCAAATGCTGCTTTCCGAATTTGCCACAACCTCCTACTTCCATTCACTCCTTATTCTGCTTTGCCTCCTCTTAAAAGGGTCAGATTTAAACATCTGAGACAGGCACTGAGCCTATGATGATGATAACAATTGTAGTACTAGAAGTAGCTCCCAACACTGAGTCCTCACTATGTGACAGCACTAGCTAAGGACTTTGCACATGCAAACCAGAAATGAAATTCTAAGCTCCCCAATGGACTGAATGGATCCCCCCTACCCTGGCCAGGGGGATCCCAAAGAAACCTGAAGAACTAGTTCAGGCCAAGAGGGGAAGAGAGGTTGGGCATGCCTCATTATACTCCCTCCCTTTAGAGTTTAGGCACAACTGACCAGCATTAACACTCAAATAGAGATCATAAGACTGACATAGAATCTTTGTAGCAATAAAATACCTACCTCCAACCTGACCCTGGTATAGCATCACATGACAGATAGAAGGCTCTGAAAGAAATCAAAGTATTTTACCCCAAAATTTATTTATTTATGTATTTATTTATTTTTTGGGAGAGAGTTTCGCTCTTGTCGCCCAGGCTGGAGTGCAATGGCGTGATCTCAGCTCACCCGGAACCTCCGCCTCCTGGGTTCAAGTGATTCTTTTGCCTCAGTCTCCTGAGTAGCTGGGATTACAGGTGTGTGCCACCACACCTGGCTAATTTTTGTATTTTTAGTAGAGATGGGGTTTCACCATGTTGGCCAGGCTCATCTCAAACTCCTGACCTCAGGTGATCCACCTGCCTCGGCCTCCCAAAGTGCTGGGATTACAGGCGTGAGTCACTGCACCCAGCCTTATCCCAAAATATATTTCTTTGACACATTTTGAAATAGCCCTGCAAAGCCATCCCTTGTGGGATAAATGTGCATTCTGTAGAGAGCCCCTGTCCCTTTCCAGGTCTTTTCCTGATCCAGGAAAGATCTGACACCTTTTAAGGTCCCATAAGAGATGTTTTACCATTTAATCTCTCTAAACCTGCTAATGGGAGGCTTCATCTACATAACAAGAACCTTGGCTTCTACAATCCCTCTTATCTTAACTGAAGCATTTCTTTCAGTTGACTTCAACTCTTTAGGCAAAGCTTAACTTTTTCAACCAACTGCCAAACAGCCAAACAGAAAATCTTTGTTTTTTTGTCGCCTAGGCTGGAGTGCAGTGGCGTAATCTCGGCTCACTGCAAGCCCCGCCTCCCGGGTTCACGCCATTCTCCTGCCTCAGCCTCCTGAGTAGCTGGGATTACAGGTGTGTGCCACCACACCTGGCTAACTATTAGAAAATATAGAATGACCTATATGGCTCATATTTGTGGTTTACTTTATCTACCAGAAAGCATTGCCTTATACCCTCCCAAATGTTACAGGCGTGAGCCACCGCGCCCAGCCAACAGAAAATCTTTGAATCCACTTACTTATGACCTGTAAGCCCCTGCTTAGAGATGTCCTACCTTTCCAGGCCAAACCAAGTGTTGATGAAAAGAGTCAAACTCTGTAAATATTTGAAGAGATTTATTCTGGGCCAAATATGGGTGACTGTGGCCCGTGACACAGCTCCCACATGGACCTGAGAACATGTGCCCAAGGTGCTCAGGGTACAGCTTGTTTTTATACATTTTAGAGAGGCATGAGACATCAATCAAATACATTTAAGAAATACACTGGTTTGGTCCAGAAAGGCGGGACAGTTCAAAGCTGGGGTGGGGGTTGGGGGGGCTTCTAGGCTATAGGTAAATTTAAACATTTTCTGGTTGACAATTGGTTGAATTTGTCTAAAGACCTGGGATTGGTAGAAAGGGAATGGTTCGGGTTAAGAAAAAGATGTGGAGACCAAAGTTCTTTTGAAGTCTTATAGTGGCTGCCCTTAGAGACAATAGATGAGAAATATTTCCTATTCAGATCTTAGTTAATCTCTTTAGGATTGGGAGGGTCTGGAAAAAAAAGATCTAGCTATGTTAATAGAGATTCTTTACAGATACAATTTCCCCCCCACAAAGAACAGCTTTGCAGGGCAATTTCAAAATATGGCAAAGAAACATGTTTTGGGGTAAAATATTTTGATTTTCTTCTTTGTCTTGTAATGTTACGCCAAAGTCAGGTTGGAAAGTAAATCACGATATATGGGTTAAATAAAACCCATCTGGTAACAATTTGTGATTTGTGGGGCATGACTCCCCAGACCCCTTAGATAGGAATTTGGGCAAGATAAAAAAAATCAGAGTTTCGCCCTCACAATGTATACCTTACAGGTATTGATTTATGTCTTGCCTGTAACTTCTGTCTCCCCCATGCTGTAACCCAACCACCTTGGGCATGTGTTCTCAGGACCTCTTGAGGCTGTATCATGGGCCACGGTCACTCATATTTGGCTCAGAATGAACCTCTTCAAATATTTTAGAGTTTGGCTTTTTTCATCAACACATGTTATCTTTTCAAACCCTCAAGAATCTGGGGTCATTCTTGGTCACAAGTGTATACTGGCCTACTGTTGGGGTACCGAGCTGTGAGAAACAATGAGAACTGTCTTTACAATTGAGCAGATGAGGGTACAGAACATAGAAATAGGACCTGCTCAAAGGCCCAGAGCAGCAAAGACCACAATATTATTCTTGGGGCAAACAGGTTGGAACAGTGTAATATGCTACAAACAAAATCAAATGGTGACTGTCCCCTGTTTTTCCTAGTAACTTAGAAACAAGAACATGTCATCTGTTGTGGGAAATTCACTAAGTAAAGCTGCCCCTCCCAAAGCCACTACTGTTTGTTTTTTTGTCAGCATTAAAAGCAGCAAACTATCCTAACTACATAAGCATACCGGATTTGGATGTTTAATTTCAACTGTCAAAAAAAAAAAAAAGCAGCAAAACTACTAATACTTTGCAATATAAACCCTAGACCACAAAGTGCCAGTGTTCAGAATAAGCCAGTCTCGGTAGGATGTGGCATATTTGTAGGAAACCACACCTAGCAACCAGAAATTTATTATGCCTCTGGCCCGTTTATTTGAAAAATAACACAGTCAATGTTGAAGGAAACAAAATAAACTTACAGTGAAAATATATTTGTGGAGCAGTTTCAAGCCCTTGGATGTAGCTAGATTAGCACTACTAATTTACAAGCATTCCATTCTTACCCAGTCTTTTTATTATGTGCATATGGGGTGAAAGTGGAGACCCCATATGGAGAAACCTAGACCTCAGTGCAACCCAACATTTGAAAACTCTGTGCCTGTGTTTTTTAAGTAACGGAAAACATGAAAAATTCCTCCTTAAAGATAATACTTAGCCATTTCATATCTCCATTAACTCAAAGTTATCTGTCCACAAATACACACATTATCCTTTCCCATCCTCTCAACTGCCCTCTCCAGGGCAGTAACGCAGAGCATGTTTGGCAATCTGCAGACAGTTTTGGTTGTTATAGCTTCATGAGGGTGCTACTAGCAACTAGTAGGCAGAGGCCAGGAATGCTGTAAAGACCCTCCAGGACACAGGACAACCTCCCACAACACACAATGATCCATCCTCAATGTCCATCACGCCGCAGTGGAGAATCCCTGCTACATCCGGACATGGACAATGCCTTGTATTTCCAGAAGGGGAACGAGATGAGAGAGGTGTGAGGAAGACCATTTCCTGCCTCACTCAATCTTCCATCCTTACAGCAGAGCACACACTTGCAAACTGAACAGCTAGAATTAACTTTGTAATTCCTAACTCAGGACAGAATATTCCAGAACGTTGAAGCTAGTAAACTGCTTACAAGCATTTACATGCAACTTCCAGAAACGTAAGGTTCCCAGAAATAATTTGTGGTTTGTGGATCAACCTTTGTTTAAAAGAAAAAAAAAAAAAAAAAGACAATTGCTACCAAGAAATAATAAACAACGGGTTCCAAAATATTAAAAATTGGGATCTGTCTCTTGTCCAGTTTCTGCATGACATCATTTTAACATGCTAAAATTAGTCAAGAAAGAACATTCTACATTTACTTTCATGAATCAATAGAGAAACAGCCATTCTCACAGTTCATACGGCATATAATCCTACACTGAAAAGCCAAAGACAGCATAGCTGCAAATGTTTAACATGTGTGATTATTATAAAGACAAGTATTTTTGCTCTTGCACACTTGCTCCCTCTTTTCTTTTTTTCTAAGAGATGAGATTTCGCTCTGTCACTCAGGCTGGAGCCCTTTTTGTTCTCTTTAAGGAAGTGGTGTACTCACAGGCTCGGTTCCGGGTTTTGTAAGTACAAGTATAGAGGCTGCAGGGCCTCGTTGGCATGAATCTCGGAATCTGGAACTTTCTCCACAGCAATTTGCCTGGAGATGCTTGAAGAATGACCCTTAGGCTGTTCATCACCACCATCTTAGCTTGAAATCTTGATCAGTTCCCAGTTAAGTTGCAGGAACCTAATAACCTAGAGGGATGAGGGCAGAGGAGGGAAAGCTATGAACAACAGAGACTTAAGATCATGGAGAAACCTCTAAGTAGGACAATATTCAGACTAGGAGTACACACCCTGAAGTGGAGGGAGGGAGGGCAGATGAGAGTTAACGGTTTATCCACTCTTGTTCCTCAAACTCATTGGTCCCCTCAGTGGAGGGCAGGGAGGGTCCTGAGGCCTGACTCACATGCTTTGCGTTTCCCTCAGGGTTGGCAAATATTAGAAGTCCAGAGAAAAGCTTCTCTTTAGCCACAAGAATGAAAAAACTGTTTACAGTACAGTTTCTTAAAATTAAAAAAAAAAAAAAACATTGCTCCAGGAAATCCCAATTAATTATCCAGCATGGTATTTACATGTACGAAGAACCCCAACATTAAAGCTCCCTCCAGGCTGTCTGACTAAAAACAAACATCTGTATCTAGATTGCTTACAAAAACAAAACAAAACAAAACAAAACCCATGACAAATCCTGCCAAAATAGTCATGGGCAGTTCTGAAATCTGAGCTTAAATATAATCTATGACTCTTTGCCAATTTTTGGTGTAACACAATGGCCCTTGAACATGGGAAAACAGACAAAGTTAATCCTGAATTCTCTCTCCACCTTTCACATGGTCACAGTCAAAGTCTCAGAAGATGATGCTTTCCAAGGTATTCACTATGGTGTTCTGAAATTATGGTAATATTAACTTTGAACACTTTCCCCACCACAGTACTGCTTCATCCATTTTCCCTGAAAACTATCCCTATTCCATTCTGAAATTCTGAAAAAAAAATCAATTTTTCTTGGTTACACATTCATTCCACTACCGATTTAGAAGTGTTTAGTCTGAGTACTTGAGACACATTCAAACAGCTGTTCAGGACACCATTTGTGCAACCATGACTGTGGTGTGGCTGCAAGGCCATGTGCTCTGGCCCTGCTAAGATCTCGGCCTCACATCCATTTGCACTCCTGCCTGCCCACCAGCTACGTGGGCTTCAGTTCTTCCAACTCCTTTCTTTCCCTCCGGCCTGTGCAGATGCTCTTTTTTGTATTTTTCATAGAGACAGGGTTTCACCATGATGGCCAGGCTGGTCTTGAACTTGTGACCTCAAGTGATCCTCCAACCTCAGCCTCCCAAAGTGCTGGGATTACAGCTGTGAGCCACTGCGTCTGGCTATCCCTGGTTAATTTTGTTTATTTTTTTTAGAGATGGGGGGGTGGGTCTCACTATATTACCTGGGTTGGTCTCGAACTCCTGGATTCAAGCAATCCTCCTGCTTAAGGACCTCGTAAAGTGCTGGGATTACAGGTGTGAGCTACTGCATCTGGCTAGGTTATAGTTTTATGTGTGTATTTGTGTATATACATTTTTGAAGGGAGCATGTATGTCAAAATGGACCTTATTTAAGAGATGCAAATGTTTGACTCAGGATTTAAAACATGGACTGGTAATAAACTTTCAAGGGATTACCTTGATAGTGCCTTGAGCTAAATAATAGTGATATAGGAATTGAGAAGAAATTACTTAGGCAGATAGTGAGGGTATGGGAGTCCTCAGTAAGGTTTTCCTTTTAATAAAAAGCAGCCCCCAAATCATTTTCTTTTCTAACAAAAAGAAGCCTGTAAAATTGAGCTGCAGACATAGACAAGCAAGCTGGAAGCTTGCACAGGCGAATGCTGGCAGTTGTGCCAATAGAAAAATATTACCTAGGACTAGGCATTTTCAAAATGGCGGCTCCATCTTCTCTTTGCCAGCTAAGTGTACGGTAAGGAGCAGACAAGATGGCACTGGCCAAGTAGAAAGCCCCTTTGCAAAATAAGATTAGGGTGGGACGATCAGCCTTCCCACATGCTATGTAAATGTCACATCTGGTGGAACTAATCTGTGGCCCCTATGTAAATCAGACACCGCCTCCTCACGCCTGCCTATAAAATCTGCTGCAGTCCGCCACTTGTCCCTTTTTTGGACGCCTCTCTCGCAAGAGAGAGAGTTGCTCTCCTCTCTCCTTTCTTCTGCCTATTAAACTTTCCTCTCCTTAACTCCATGTGTGTGTTCCAGTCATTAATCTTCTCGGGGTGAGACACCATACCCCAGAAAAAGAAGACGCGCATTAGCACCCTGTTTTCAAATAACTTCCTTAACTGAATTAACTGAGCAGACTTAAAAGAACAATAGGCCATTGGCAACTTCAATTTAGAATCTCACTCTGCTTTGTTTTTCTTAACAAAGAAAAACTTTATTACGGAAAACTTCAATTTTATACTAGTATAGTAAGAACACTATAATAAAACCACCTACGTACCCAATATTCCATTTCAACCATCTGTTCATGGCCAATCAAGTTTTATTTATACTTCTCCTACTCTCCCTGCTATTTTTCCTCCCCAGCTTATTTTGAAGCAAATTCCCAGACATCCTATCAATTTATCCCTCATTGTATTTTTGAAATCAAAGAACACTGATTTCATCTCCTCCTCAAACAATCAGCAGCAAGCCTAGCCACCTCCACCCATTCCCCTAAACTGCCTTTGAAAAACTCCTAACCTATGAGCTTTGGCGGAGATTATTTCACTACTAATTCCATCTCCCACATGGTGTGGCCGGCCTTGTGTCTACTTAAACTCTTTCTTTACTACAATGCTGAAACCGCCTTTGCAAAATTATAACTGAGGAAATTATGACAGTGAATAAAATCAGACCTAATCAACTCCATCTTGCTTCTAACCTTTAAGCTATCCTTGTTCATTCCTGGATGTAGGCCGAACTAACTTTGGGAAGGAATTCAGTTCATGGCTTGACTCTGAAACAAAATTGATAGCAGCCCTTTCCCAAAAAGACCCCCTTCTTGCCTGGGGACGAGTCTGCCTTTGCAGGACTAACAACTTAGCTAGTGGTTAGAAATTATAGTTTAGGGGTTGTGCAGCCTCTGGCTCCAAGAGTTTGAACCTCCCCAAATTGCTCCTTGGGATAACATCACTATTGTAAAACCTAAGATCAATGCTTGAGATATTTTGCAGACCCTGCACTTGATGGATCAGCTGACACCACCCAGACCCATAATCTGGCTCAATCAGTTCTGCCATCCCACCCAGGAACAAAAGACAGCAAGAAAACCTCACTTCGACCCCCTATAATTCCATCTCCAACCTGAGTAATCAGCCCTCCCCACTTCTCAAGGCCTTACCCGCGAAATTATCTTTAAAAACTCTGATCCCTGGATGCTCGTGGAGACTGATTTGAGTAATAATAAAACTCCGGTCTCCCACACAGTGGGCTCTGTGTGAATTACTCTTTCTCCATTGCAATTCCCCTGTCTTGGTAAATGGATTCTGTCCAGGCAGCGGTTGCAATGCCATGGTCTTTCTTTGTGCAGCAGGTAGGAAGAATCCCTTGAGCGGTTACAGTAATATGAACTGAAATGGTTAAGATTAATGCTTAAAGTACACCCTTAAATTTATGCAAGAATCTAGAACCCAAGGAGCAGGAAAAATAGTTGCTCAGTTACACTATACAAGAAGTTCAGCCGGGTGCGGTGGCTCACGCCTGTAATCCCAGCACTTTGGGAGGCTAAGGCAGGTGGATCATAAGGTCAGGAGATCGAGACCATCCTGGCCAACCTGGAGAAACCCTGTCTCTACGAAAAATAGAAGATTAGCCAGGCATGGTGGCACATGCCTGTAGTCCCAGCTACTCAGGAGGCTGAGGCAGGAGAATCGCTTGAATCCGGGAGGTGTAGGCTGCAGTGAGCTGAGGTTGTGCCACTGCACTCCAGCCTGGGTGACAGAGCGAGACTCCATCTCAAAAAAAAAAAAAAAAAAATTAAACAAAACAAAAAAACAAGAAGTTGACGCTTTCTGTGGCTTCAAATGGTGCAAGCTATGAAAACTCTCTGAAAAAGCTGCTAAGTGTTATATAATATAAGTTATTATTACTCAAATTGATTTTGTTAAAATGCTACCCATAAAAGGAGAAAGCTAAGAAAATAGTCATTTTGGATGACTTTTAATATCATTTTTTGTTTTCTTTTAAAGCCAATAAATATCCACAAACAATTGCAACTAATCAGGATTCCCTCTGATAAAATGAAATTTCAAAACCTTCTAAAAGATATAGGGAAACCTTGCGTTAACTGTGCTTCCTTTCCATTGATTTCCAGTCCTGAACTGAAGCAATGGTGAGCGATTATCTCATGTCGAGCACTGTGCTTGTATAAAGATGAAAAGATCATGCTCTTTCCCCATTCCCACAAGCTTGCAATCTACAAAGAAAACCTATTTAAACAAATACTTCTTTTTTGTTACCTTTTTAAAAATTGTGATAAAGCATACATAATAGTTATCATTTTAACCAGCTGTAAATGTACAAATTCAGTGGCATTAAATACATTCATAATGTTGTGCAATCATCACCACCATCTGCACCCAAAACTTTTTCATCATCCCCAACATAAACTATGTACTCACTAAAGAAGAACTTCTCCTCTACCCCTTATCCCCTGGCAATCTCTCTTTTACTTTATGTCTCTGTGTATTTATTTGCCTATTCTAGGTACCTCACATAAGTGGGATGGTAGAGCATTTGTCCTTCTGTCACTGGCTTATTTTACTTAGCATAATTAAACAGATACTTCTTTTCTTTTCTTTTACTTGAGACAGAGTCTCACTCTGTCACCCAGGCTGGAGTGCAGTGGCGTGATCTCAGCTCACTGCAACCACCACCTCCCAGCTTCAAGCGATTCTCCTGCCTCAGCCTCCAGAGTAGCTGGGAATACAGGCCCCTGCCACCATGCCCGGCTAATTTCTGTATTTTTAGTAGAGATGGGGTTTCACCATGTTGGCCAGGCTGGTCTCGAACTCCTGACCTCAGGTGATCTGCCCGCCTTGGCCCCCCAAAGTGCTGGGATTACAGGCATGAGCCACCGTGCCTGGCCATAAACAAATATTTCTTAATCAAAGCTGGACACAATGACAGCCTTGATTTAGTGCA